GCTGGGTGGGAGGGAGGCCGGACCATGCATGGGGCCAGTGTTGGGCAGGCAGGTCGGATTGACCCCGCCCGGGCGGCGCTCAGAACCAGGGACTGTAAACAGGCAGAACAATCCCCCCACACAGGGGGACCTCCGGGGAGGGGGGGAGATTGCACGCGAGAGAGCGAGAAATAGCCCCCGGGCTGTACGACAGCGGCGGCGGAATACACAAAGGAGGACTTGTGAGCAGATAGGTAGCTGGATGGGGGGGGTGTGGGGATGGACGGATGGCACAGAGAGGCGGATGGGGGCACGGACGGATGGACAGGCAGGGTGCGTGGGGAAAGAGACAGGAAGGGCCCGTGGGAGGTTTGCGGCAGTGGGCATGTAAATGGCAGCAGGCAGCAATGAATCTATTAATCAATTCATCTCGCTCGTGAGCAGCGAGCAGGTTACTGTAAATCACCCGCAGCCAGGCCTTGCCCCGGGGCGAGCGGGGAAACGGGATCACATGCTGAGGGACAGGGAACCCAGCCCGCCACCTGCCACGCAGATCAAGGGCCACATCTCTGTCTGGTGCAAAGCAGCATCGCTCCAGCTGGGGTCAGTCCCGAGAATCTGTGGGGCCAGACCCCAAAGCAGGAGTGAGTCCACAGAAGATAATGCAGGTTGGACCTCCCTGGTCCGGCACTCTGGGGACCGGGCTGGTCCCAGATGAGGATTTTGCACACAGCCCAATGGGGCCCTGATCTCGGTCACTGTGTGTCTGGGCGGCGCCCGGCCCGACGGGGCCCTGATCTCGGTCACTGTGTGTCTGGGCGGCGCCCGGCCCAATGGGGTTCTGCTCTTTGGTCCTTCAGCTAGCCCCTGTTGCATTTTGCTGTCCTAGCCTGTGTCGCTCAGACAACGAAACGGGGTTTATTTGTCCAGATTTTGCCACATGGCATAGTAAGAAACAGGCACAAAATTGCAGGCAAATCCTGTCGCAGTGATCCTAGAATCACCGGCTCTGGTGGGATCGGGGCCCCATCAGGCCGGGCACCGCCCAGACACACAGTGACCAAGATCAGGGCCCCGTCGGGCCGGGCGTCGCCCAGACACACAGTGACCGAGATCAGGGCCCGTCGGGCCGGGCGCCGCCCAGACACACAGTGACCGAGATCAGGGCCCGTCGGGCCGGGCGCCGCCCAGACACACAGTGACCGAGATCAGGGCCCGTCGGGCCGGGCGCCGCCCAGACACACAGTGACCGAGATCAGGGCCCGTCGGGCCGGGCGCCGCCCAGACACACAGTGACCGAGATCAGGGCCCGTCGGGCCGGGCGCCGCCCAGACACACAGTGACCGAGATCAGGGCCCGTCGGGCCGGGCGCCGCCCAGACACACAGTGACCGAGATCAGGGCCCGTCGGGCCGGGCGCCGCCCAGACACACAGTGACCGAGATCAGGGCCCCGTCGGGCCGGGCGCCGCCCAGACACACAGTGACCGAGATCAGGGCCCCGTCGGGCCGGGCGCCGCCCAGACACACAGTGACCGAAATCAGGGCCCCGTGGGCCGGGTGCCGCCCAGACACACAGTGACCGAGATCAGGGCCCCGTCGGGCCGGG